AACCCCAACCAAGTGCATCAGATTACCCCGTGCGGTTCCAACTTCACAGTTGCTATAGGATACTCCCGAGTATCAACATGCGCACACACTATAGCAACCTTTTTAGCCTGGAAGTTCACAGGGCCTATCAATTCAGCCTTATCAGAGGTACTAAACTTCCGGAGTCCAGCAAAGCAGTAACATGCTTATCATTTACAGTTATTGCACACATGTGTTTTCCCTTCACTGGCACTGCGGTGCATGACATAATGGCAAACAAAGACTGCCGTCTTTCCTTGAAAGACAAGTCACACTGCATAGGCTCATCAGTCAATGGACAGATCGCAGCTACATGTCCAGGTTCCTGGCAACGAAAACATCTAACATTCCTCAGGCTAGGTCTGCTGACTGGCACTGGTTTTCCTGCTTTGGAATGCCAACCTCCCAACTTTAAAATCAGCATTTTTCCCCCTGCTTCCTTGCCACACTCACCACCAGGCACGTATTCCCCACAAGGCCACCGTGGCCCGGCCTCGGGGCGGCAGCGGTGTCCTTGTGGGGAAGTTCCGGCCGTTGAGCGGTAAGTTGCCCTCTCTACATTTAGTCCTGCTTTGCACAAGCAGAACTAAATGTAGAGTGAGGCAGCCGACTGTTCGTTTACATGTAAACTCAGCGATGTTGCCGAGATCACATGTAAACAGTCTGCAGCCGGCCGATCCGTCCTCCCCTCCCCCCTGCACTTACCTCTCTCCTCTTGTTCAGTCCTCTGGGCTCTGCCGCAGAGTCCGTCTCCTCACTGCAGTACTCCTGCATTGGAGGTGACAGGGTCAATAAAGAGAACCTGTCACCTCCAATTGCTATCACACAGGGGTGTTTTCTTCTGTGTGATAGCAATAAAGTGAGGTGGAAAAAAAATTTTCATTGATAAATTAAAAAAAAAATGAAATAAATAATAATAAGGGTGATTAAAAAAATAAAAAATAATAAGAAACAAATTATTAAAAAATAACAAAATAACAAAAAACGGGGGGGCGGGGGTGCGTATCATGGAACCTCGCCTTGGGGCGGCAGGGAGAGTAAATCCGGCCCTGCTCACCACCCACTTCCCCTGGAACAGTCTTACCGGTTGTCGAGGGAGACTGTGGTTTTGGACGGAAAGTCCATGGGCTTACAGGGGAGGCCTTCAAGGCCTATGCCGCAAAGTATCTCTCAACATTCTCCACAAGCTGATCGACTGACTTAGGATCCCCTTGGGTTACCCACTTTTGCAAGATGATAGGTAAGGATCTTAGGAAGCAATCCATGACTACCCGCTCAACGATCTGCGGCCCCGATAGGGACTCTGGTTGCAGCCATTTTCGGACGAGAGGTCAAACATCTGTGACCGTGGCGACTTCACAGCTTGGTAGGACCAGTTGTTAACACGCTGTGCTCGCACCGCCAAAGTAACACCTAGCCATGCTAGTATCTCCCGCTTGACCTTGTCATAATCCATGGCATCCGCAGACTCCAAATCATAATATGCTTTCTGTGATTCGCCAGTTAGCAAGGGCACCACCAGTCCTGCCCACCGTGTCTTAGGCCAAGCTTCCCTCTCAGCGGTTCTTTCAAATGTTAACAGTAAGGCCTCTGGATCATCCTCTGCTGTCATCTTGGAAAGGAAGTGACTAACATGGATGGGTGAGGAGTTGTCAGAAGAATCTGCAGCTCTGTGCCAGCATCTGTACTACCTTTGTCAGAGTCTTCCGAACTTCTTCAGCAGCAACTGCTAGCTTTTCAAAAAACATTTGTTTCTGTTCCTGTACAGCACTGATCTGCTGCGTCTGTGTGTGCAACACCTGAGTCTGCTGCTGCAGAGCATTTAACATGTCCTGCTGTGTAGCATTAGCCTGTTGCTGTGCTGCATTAGCCAACACCAACTGTTTTATAACTTCATCCATTTTCTGTCACTTCAGGTACTGGCCCTTTAAATAGCAGGTTCTTGCTATAACTTGCCATAACTTGCCCAAAGTTCTCCACCATATCTGAGCTGGGGAATAGATAGCGGGTGCAATTGCTCCCTGGGGTGAGCACTCTTGAAAGGTTTAGAGACCAGACCAGTGACCTGTTTTCAAACAGTGGTACATTTATTGGTGCAACACACAGGCTATATACAGTGTTGTACAGTGCTCAAATAAAGTTAACACTTCAAAAACAAAATCCTAGCCGTGTCCCGACACTAAAAAAACATACGATAGTCCTGACAACCAACCTGTACAAACCTATTGTTTGTCAGGCTTCAGCAAAACACCATGACCAACCTTGTGCTCCAGCAGATTGAGACTGCCTGCTCCCCAGGCTCCAGAGCTCTGTCTGTTTGCCTCACCTGCACTGAATTGCCACTGAGGCAAAGTGTAAAACCTGGGGCTTACCAAAGGTTTCGGAAGGTGTGAGAGAGGAATCTGGATGACACATAAACCCCGGAAAGGACCTCTCCTTGCTCTCTACATGATGACCTGCTACAATATCAATAGATCTCTTTTTAGATATTGGTATCGGACGAATAACATCTACAAACTGCTCATAGGTGATTGAAACTGAGGGGTGGTTGCAGGTGAGACTGGAGATTAAAGACTGTTGCTCGCCGTAGAGACAGGCGAACAATCTGAAGAATTTGGTCGATTTTGTTGGGAGGTCTTGTTTGATGCCGAAGGTTCGTCAACTGAGGGAGAACAAGATTGGTTTCGTTGTTGTTCTCGGCTGACGGACACTGTTGGGTGTTGCGTTTTTAAATGCCTCTTCAAATTTCCTGTTGATCCTGACGACATTGACAGCATCCCTTGGCAATATCACCATTTTGCTTTTCCATCACGTTTTACAAAATGGTACCAAATATCAGACCATATTTTTGAAGACATGTTCAAAGCTGTAAACAAAGGAATACAATCAAATTAATTATCTTATTATTGTAATGCAAATTGGTGTTATTTTTTGTAATCATTAAATTTTGTAGTTACAATTGTTACAAAGTTAGAGAAAAATATTTTGATCTTATATTTATATGACTATAAACATTTATATTTTAGAATGTTAATTATAATATGTTAAAATAATATAATTATTGTATATTAATACGTTATAGTTCAAAACATCCCTGTAGTAAGGGTATCTACACTCATTATTATAATTCACATGAATTTACTTACCTTTAAAACAGCAGCACAATTCATAAGACGGAGAAATGCTGTAGCGTAGGATGAGTGAACCTCTGAACAATATGCGCTTTTATACACATCGCTTCAGAGCGGATCTCATTCTAGTATAATCGAGAAGGCGCGAGGAGCGGAAGAATTATATCATTCCTGATACATCGAGAACCAGATTCCTCGAGATGCAAAGGAGCGAAAGAACCAAATCATTCCTGACTCTTTTTGGCTCTCGGTTCCTCGCTCGTTGGAGGGATAGACGTCGGAAGGGGAAGTTATCGAGAGCCTTCGAGAGTGTCCGTCATTGTTCGTCCTTGCCCCGAAGATTCCCGATTTTGAAGATCCAATGGACGTTGGAAGTGGGAGTTAACGAGAGGCTTCGAGAATCTCCGTCATCCTTCATCCTTGCTTCGAACATTCCCGATATTTCAAAGAACCGAGAACTGGCACTCATTTTTACTGAGCCACCGCTCATTCAGTCATCTGAGAGGACCGGTCAATAGATCCGGATCGCTCAGGAGCGACCCATCTCTAGTCACTGGTGAGGCATCGAGATTGATGTCCCCAGTGTTTTTTTTTTTTCTTTTTTTTGATTATACAGCTTGGACCAATGGTACTTTGCCATTGGTCCAAATCATCCACAGAGCTCAAGCCTCTAACAGAGTAGAGGCTGTTTGCAGCTCTGGCCTTACTATGTTAGGTTACACAGGCAGTGGGGAAGCCTGCTACTGTGTAACCTAACTTAGCTGTCAAAAGCCGGATGCAGCGCTGCCTGTAATTAACAGGCAGCGCTCCATCCATGACAGGTTACACAGTGTGGAGGCTTTCCCTGCTCTGTAACCTGTTACAAGCCACTCTGAACGGAGAAAAAGCTGTCAGCTTCAGACTTGAAGCTGACAGCTTTTTCCTCCACAATACTAGGTGAGGCTCTGCCTCCCCTGTGTCATGCCCCCTGTGTACAGATAACAGGATTCAGGCAACAGGATTCAGGTATGGCAACAGGATTCAGTTTAGGACGACAATACTGAGGCACTAGCCTCACTGTGAAAAGGGGCTAAATACCCTCCCAGGCCAGCACCAGGTGGAGACTAATTGTCGACAGTTGGGAGGCGCCCACAGGTGAGCACTGGAATTGCAGGTTCCAGCACCACCCAGTGGTGGTCTGGTACCTGACAGGCCCTGGCTGCCTGGAGACACCTGCAGGTGGGCACCGGAATTGCAGGACCAAGTTCCAGTGCCACCTGGAGGTGCTCTGGTCCCTGGCACACTGCTTCCCCGGACTACACGTCCCTGGTGTCAATGCATGGCATGCCTGTAGTTAGATTACTGCTGCCACGCCACCCAGCCTTGCTGCCACGTCCCCCAACCAAACTGCTATAGGCAGGGACTGTCAAGGGTTGTCAATTCTGCAGATTTGATTAGTAATGACCATGGTGCAGACACTGCACAGGAAATAAAGTGTCCGGTGAACAAGAGCATATTCTCTCTAAAGGTTGATCCTTAATAGCTGTTTTTCTACAATGGAGTATATTCCTATAAATATGTAGTGTATGACACAGGTAACTTTGCCATAGTCATCACTTGCTTTCTTCCCCAGAGTCTAATTGAGGCCCAATTTTTACAAACTAAGACGAGATATGCAAATTCAACATATCGTTAACCAAACACGATTACAAATGTAATATATGCTATACATCATTTACAATATATATTTAAATGTTGGGCACAGCTATTTTCCATATGCTGGAATAACAAAAACTGAAACTTTGCCTTTTAAATAGAAAATGAGCAGTATCAAATTTGCCAGCCTCATGTTTCATTTTTTTCCCCACACAGGACAATTCAATTAAAACATCCAAGTACAATCTGCTGAATTTTTTACCTTTGAATCTATATGAGCAGTACCATCAGGCCCATGTAATTTACTTTACATTTGTGATTCTTTTGCAGGTAAGCCCAAAAATGCCATTAGGCCACCTAAAAATACACCTAAAAACTGTCTTGCATTGTTTTTGTAGTACTAATAGTAAGCTTAAAATTGTGACTTGATGGGTTGTGCTCCAACCAACTCACACAAAGTCTGCGACAATCATGTACTCCAAATGTAGTAGAACTAGTCACCCACACACCTAGGTCCAATGCATTAATCTGTCCTTTAATTGACATCAGATACACATGTCATCACAAGTACAAAGCTTTATACTTGTGTTGCCATGTGTATCTGACGTCAATGAAAGGACAGATTGATGCATTGGACGTAGGTGTGCGAGTGACTACTACTTCTACATTTGGATTTATGTAGCGCCATCCGCATGTCATTCAGCACCCTCCATTATATTAATATAGGGTTCCAGTCTGGCAGTGCAATGGGACACAAATAAACCATGTAGTCCAGAGACAAATCACCCCAGAATTTTGAAGCTAGTGCATATTAGGACTCAGTTAAAGATTAAGGTAACAAAAAAAAGAGAAAAAAAACTGATCTGACCCAGTTTTATTTTTTAGAACCATTGGCTGTCAGGAATATGTTTAGGCTTGCCATAGTGTACTTTACATTTTAAAAATACTGTAGATGAAGGATACAGAATAGCATACATGGAGGGGAATTTATTAAAACTGGAACAGACAGACTATGGAGCAACTGTGCATGGCAACCAATCAGCTTCTATCTTTCATTTTCAAACCTTACAGGAGAACTATGGCGAGAGTGTAATGTACTCATGCCCATAGTTAGAGCTGACGTGCGACACTGCAACAGTCACATGTTGGCTCTAAAGATCGAGAGTGATGACTGCAGGGATCCCCTCCCTCCCACTCACTGTTCCTTCAACACTGACTGTAGGGACAGACTGGGAAGGAGGCAGGCACAGCTGGTTCTGGCTATAGAGAGGCAGAGCCAGAGAGGCAGAGCCAGTTGTCAATCAGGTAGCAGGATGGATCCTGACAATATTGTCGGGATCTTTCCGGGCTGCAGCACGGCTTTGCACTGTCAGCATATAGTGAGCGATAGCCCACTATATGTTGAGTTTTGGGCTCACAGGAGGACATTAGTAAATATCCTCCTGTGACCATAAAGGGAACTAATGCCAAAAAAGGTTTGGCCATATTTTTTTTTTTTAACTGAGTAAACTGAAGAGAGAAGCTGATTGATTGCCACGGGCAGCTGCTCCAGATTCTGCCTGCTCCAGTTTTGATAACTTCTAAGGCAGTTGACTGTTTGTGGCGATCCTATGCAAAGTATGGAATATTGTTTGTTTTTTTTAAAATTTTGGATACAGTGGGAAATGGTTAGACCCTCTGTCAAGTTTTTATTGCTGTTTGTGTCCCCTTTGGGAGGATTACTTCTTTACTTGTACTGGTGACCATTCAACTGGGAAACAGAAAGGAAATGCAAAATTTCAGAGTTTTCCCCAAAAGAAGAGGTAAGAGAAAATCTTCGGGTTATGACACCTGTTCTATGAACAACTGTCTAAGGCCCCATTCACATGTAGCGACATACCTTTGCAGCGGCCGGGATAGCGTGACTTTCGGGGCGACGACGTTCCAGCGACGATCTAGCGACGGTAGCGCGACCTTCTCCGTCGGGCTCCATAGAAAAAAATTAAAATCCGCCAAAAAAAGGGTCCGGTAGAAGCGACTTGCGACCGCGACGAGCGACATGGAGCTAAGACAGCTCCATTGACTATCATTAGCCGGCGACTCCTCGCGATATCGCGCGGCAAAAATGCGCGATATCTCGCTACATGTGAACGGGGTCTAATTGTGGAAGTTCCCTTCAAATGGGGAGATTTCTTCTTTCTTACTGTTGTGTCTCCAAGACAGGAAGTAACAGACATCTCCCCAGCAGAATACACACAGGAAAAAAAACCTGATAGAGGTTTTAACCCCTCCTTACTCTATCCAAAACTAAAGTTTTGTCTTTACATATATTTTAAAGCAGACTTTGCAGTAAAAAGCAAAGGTCCTCTTATAATGTCCAGGCCCCCTCCCCCTGTAAAAACTGCCTGCTGATATCTAGTGGTGGTTAGTCACATTCAACTTCACTTGTTATGTAATGTTGAAGACATTTCACAGCCTATCCAAGTTGCTGCCTCAGTTCTAATGAGTGTCAGAAACATACTCTATTATAACATTTATAGCCCCATGGCTAACCCTAATGCTATCACCATGGAATATGTCATGGCAGGCGTTGATTGTCTGATGATAGCATGTCCAAAAAGGTACCTGAAAAAGAGATTTTATACTTGCTTTACCCCTGTCTTCCACATTGCTGACATCACTATCCTTCTAAGAAGATTCCTGGGAAATTCAGAGTAGTCCAAATCTTGTGAGAACTCATTCCAGTGCACAGTCCAGAGCGTCTATGAAAAAATTTGGGCTACTCTGTATCCCCCAGGATTTCGTTGGAAAGAGTGTGATGTCACCCTCCACAAGACATTGCAGGTGGAAAACAAGGGTAAGGCAAGTATATAATCTAACTTTTTTCTTTAAACGTACCTTTAGGACATTTGACCAGGCATTGTATATGGGGAAGGGGGCCTGGACATTGAAAGCAGACTTGAATCTTACTGCGAGGTCCACTTTAATGTCTCATAAATGACAATGTGTATTGAATTCAGCTGCATAGTACCATTCATTTAATTGTATATGGAGATTAATTACAAAACAGATTATTTACTTTTACTTTAACCTTTACATTTTTGTTTACAGTGCATCCCACATATTTCAACCCAGCCAGCATATATCATTGTGATACCGCTCATATGTATTCTGGTAGCAAGAGGTCTGCGAGACATAGCAGATGATATTGTAAGCAAGATATCTCAAATAAAACTTTCTTCCTTCATCTTTATTTTGTGTACTAATGTATAAGACAAAGATTCCTAACAAGTGCCAATTTTTACTTGATAAAAGTGCAAACCCAAACAGGTAAGATGCAGGCCGGGAGCTAAAGTGGAAATGATGCAACAGTTATTCATGTTGAGTTGAATGTTGTTGTTGTTTTTTACTACATGTATGCTATGCCTCTTTGCAATTTGCACTGGTCCACGAGGTCTCACTGCTTGAATTTGCAGGTTCACCTTCTAGTCATCCTGACAATTTGCCTGCCCTCTGATGTTGTATAAATTTATATCATAGAACGTTCGGGGCTTGAACTCCAGCCTCAAACGCTCCCTAGTGTTTGATTTCCTCTTTAACCAGTTGACATCCGCGGTGTTAAACCCCCTTCCCATCCAGGCCATTTTTCAGTATTCAGCGCTGCAGTACTTTGACTGACATTTATTCCGTCATGCAGCGCTGTACTGAAATGAATTTTATACCCTTTTTTGGGGACAGATAGAGCTTTCTTTTGGTGGTATTGATTCACCACTGGGGTTTTCATTTTTTTACTATATTAAGGAAAAATTACCGATTTAAAAAAAAAAAAAAACAGTTTCCCCTATATTAAATGATAAAACATTTATTATTACCCAATTTTTTGGTAAAATATAAAAGACGGGGTCACGTCGGGTAAAAAGACACCAAACATGTCAAGCCTTAAAATTGCGTGCGCGCGCGAAACCTCAAAAAACGATAATACCCAAAATTGGCCATGGGCGACGCTTTAAAAGCTGTTACCGCTCATCAGTTTAGTGTTATCAGTGATTGATGGCCCTAAAATGATTGCTCTCACTGCGACGTTCGCGGCGATATGTAACATGTGTAGC